TTCCTGTACTTTCTTAATAAGCCTGTTACCAGCCATTCTCGGAGGAAAGTGAATGGGCTGGATCAGCTGGGAGCATGAGCCAGTAGAGCAGCTCCGGACCGCTGTATTCCTTCAAAATTCTCAGGTATTCGTCTCTTATTCAAATTATATTTGACTTATTTATGAAAGACAAGTCCACAAATAAATTTCTTCTGAGTAGATGAGAATGGATAATTTCTTTTAACTTCAGTTAATGAAGAACCGATACACTAATTAGTTTAGTTAAGGGACAAAAAGCCCCAACATTTTGTTTTCATTATCTGTGTGGACTTTCATCTAAAATTATTATGAAAAAAAAAAAGAAAAATAAGATTTTTTCCTTACTGTATAATAAATGTTTTACATGGTTATGATTCAATATGCTTTACACTGCACTGGTAATTCTCATTATTCTTCAACTATTACATTTGAGGAGGTTAATACACCATTAACATGATTAACTTTTTAATAGAAGCTAAGCCATATGGAACCAATCTGCACCGTTCGCCTATATACACGACTAGATACTAAAGAGCAGCTTCTGCCCCACTGCACCTGTGCAACTTTACCAGCTTCACTTGCACTTGCAGGCACAGACCATGGGAAGTGCATGGCTTGCTAGAAATTCAGAGTATCCACAACTTCTTATTCCTTCTCAAAACAGTGACAATCTATAAAAAGGCAGGGATGAACCAATATGCTGGACATATCCTCACACAACTTACAGAACACCTTCACCAAGTGTTCAGTGCCAGAGCAGCAATTCTCCATCCAGGTAAATTTAGGTTCATGGAGGAGTATTAGTCTTTAACATTGAGAGTTTTGTAAGAGACTAGTGAATTTCTGTTAATTATCTCTGTGTCAATCATCCAATCTGTAAAATATAGAGCAGCTGAATTAACTCAATTGCTCAAAGGAGCAGCATTGTCACTCCCCACAATTTTTTCCCCTCTGTCAGGAATGCAGTGACCATACCACACAATTCACCACTCTGAATCTCATCTTGTTCTGCTTACTCCACGATCCTAAGACAGCAAAGCATGTCAGTAGTCCTGTCAATTCTACTGTTAATCTTAAGCACATGAAATGTCAAGGGAACTCGCAGACTGAAGGACATTCTCTGCCCCAGAAAGCACACAATCGTCTTCCCTCCTGTGCTTTCCGCAACACAGTCTCACCCTTTATCTTGCCATGCCATTCAATATCTTCACTAACAGATTTTGTCTGTATGCCACAAAAGCTCTCGTTTCTACCCACGTTGCACTGTGCCTCTCCTACTCTTCTCTGTTCTTCTAAAGGTGTTGTTGAAATAATGCATTTTACTGACACACCACCTCCTGGGCAGCTGGTTCCCACAGCTGGGGTGCAAAAGGCAATAAAGACAAAACACAACTCAGCAATGAATCATAGGTCTGAACAGATCTCAGAGGTCATCTAGTCCATCCCTCTGCCCCAAGGGACGTCAACTATCCTATGTCATTTCTTATAGACGTCTATATAACCTGCCCTTAAAGACTTCCAGCGATGGAAATGCCACAAGCTCCACAGGCAATCTCTCCATCCCTATATTTCACCTTTTTTTAATCTTTGCATTAGGAAGTTCATTCTTTTCTCACAGGTCACATTTTTCTAGGCCTCAGGTCTTTCTTCTTGCTTTCTTTAAAAATGCCACCAGGTTTTTTGTTTTTACCATGAAAACTGGGGGAAAACTCCAATTAAAGCAGTTACCTTCAAAAACCACTCTTGAAAGTGATCATTGAAAAATTTACTGTATACTGCTGCTGAAATTAAGTTCCCCTTTTTCAGCATGAAGCTATAACATACTTTTAAGACTTGAAATGAGAAAATTATTCACGTGCTTGTCTTAACTCCCTTTATTTTATTGGAGATAAGAATATATAACAGTAGAATCAAGCCAGGTTGTCACTTTTGTTTTACATAAGTCTACAATGCCTACAATGCAGAATCAGTATAAGAACATCGACAATCAAACAATTTCTCATCCAAAAGTGAAGGTAAGCCATGTTTAGTACAGAGAACCTCAACGTAATAAAAGAACATCTTAGGTGTCCCCAAAGGTATGAAATTCTACTTTGCTCAAGCAAGTAGTCCCATTAGGAACGGGCTAGGCCCACTAGGAAGAGTACAGCAAAGCAGACGTGGCTCATGGTTTTCCTATACCCTGTGAATTCATGGCACCTGATTTTTTTTCTTTTCAATTACTGAAGAAGTAAAGGAGGGGGAGAAGAAACGAAGCAATGCTATAGCTAACCCGTATCTTCTTGATTATTGTTGGCTTTATTCCTCAGGGAACAGAAAAGAAACAAAACGCATATACAGGTCAGATATGCCTCCTTTTGCAACTGAATTCATTCCGCTGCATGGAGCAGAAAGGACGTAAGACACCCCTTACCAAGCTTTTAAAATTCTGAAAACTGAAAGGAAAAAGGTAGTTATTCACAGACAACAACAAACCAGTAATTTTTCTTATACACTTAATACAATGTAAAGTATTTTTTTGTTTTAAACAGTGGATTACAAAAGCCAAAAAGCTGAAAGAAAGACTTGGATTTAGCCTCAACAAAATTATTTTCCAATATAACAAGAAAATCCATTACTGCCTGTAACCCAGAATTACTGGCTTTCCATATATACATTACTATCATACCACAGGATGAAATGGGAGGACAGTCGTTTCTTAAGGTCTTTATGGTTGAGAAATGTTACAGACTGTTTCATGAGGAAAAATCTTTAAATTAAAAAAAAAATGAAGAAAACAAAATGAATAAAGCATATTTTAAGCACCAGCTTACATATGCATTGTGCATTTTAAACAAAATACATCGATAAGAAATTAACATTTGTTATGGTCCTCTTTGAGCTGGATACCTGAAGGTGTGCCTGGAAACATTTCACAAATAAGAAAGTCCAGCCTGTTTTGATTTTGATGTTCTTTGAAAAGGTATGGCAATCTCGCATAAAATAGAAGTAAAGAATTTAATTACAGCTGACAAACTGAGGATTCAGAAGAAATGCTAAACTCGTAAGCACTGAAGAAGTAACACTTTGCTACTGAAGGTTTCCTGCACTCCAGCTACCTCAAAAGATCAGATGACAACATATTTCATAATGACTCCTGATCATCCTGATCATAGGGAAAACATAATAGAGGCTAATACCGTTATTCAAGCTTTATTCTGACCCATTTCAGACAAGCTGCTTCATGTGCAAACAATCATGGAAGAATATCCACTCCTTCTAATCCAAATATCAAGTGAAGATAAAACATTAGGAAAATCTAACAATTGAGGCAGCAGTGTGCCCACCAACTAAATATCTCCACTTAATTTTTACCCCTCACCCCCCGTAACATATAAAGCAATAGATTGGTTTACACAATTCACAAGGGATTATTTTCCTCAAGTTACCAAACTGGAGACTTCAAAGTCCGAATTTTAACATAGCCGCACATGCACATTAAATATACATCAGAATCTTAATACATAGCAAATACACTGCAGTAACTATGCAGAGCATTTTGCAGAAACTAACGCATAAATTTATAAATCTCAAATTTAAGGAAAAGTTTCTTCAAATATCAGAACAAGTGACTGCATCTCAAAATAAAACCAAAATAAAGCATCGTTCAGACAAAACACATTAACCAAAATCTCAAAAGAAATAAAAAATGCACAGAAACATGAACCAGGATGCAAAGAATGTCCTAGAGGCAAGATTACCAAACAATTACACCAGCCAGTGGTAACAGTGACAGTACATAGCTTTCTTAATTTTTCTTCTGAAAAATCTGCTTTGTGCTCCCCAGTATGGTTAAATCATTCTGCTGTTCTCTACAGTCCAAAAAAATGCAAATCATCAATAATCAAGAGAGCATCAGCTGATCACATTTCAGGATGCGGCATGGGAGTATTAAGTGACTGCACATTGATCAAATGACGACACAATCTGGAGACTGAGCCTCAAGTAGTATTGGTTGACCCTGCTGTTAAGTATGCTAATATTATATAAGCCTATTGAGCTATAGCTATAAGCTAATATTACATAGTCTACTGTTGAAGGCTATATAAGCCTTCAGCAGTATTGAAGTACTGTTTCTGCTGCTGCAAAGTGCTGTAAAAACTCTGCACACGCAAACACATTTGGAAAATCAACTGTCTACAAATATATTTCCCCTCTTCAAATAATCAATCTTAAAACGGCCTGCTCTTAGACCAACTTTCTGGCAATGAAACGCAGAGTTCCCAGTACCTGACCCAACAATTTCACTTGTCTCAAGGTAAATCTCTCAGCAAGTAATGTGTGTCACCCTCAGGAACATCCTTTTTATGTAACAAACTACCAGCCATTAAATGACTTAAGATGAAGGTACCTTTTCTTTTCTCTTTTACCTTGCACATACATGGAGGATGGAAAGCAGGCAGCAGTATTTCAAAAGATTATGCGTACCTACTCCTTCTAAACCTATACGGTTCTCAAGGGAACAATCAACTCAGCAATTTCTGTGATGCTCAGGCTACGATTACCAGAATGAGATGCATAACCTTTATTACACCAGCAAACAGTTAACTTTACACATTATTTCTCTTACTTTAGTGCTCCCAAATCTTTCATCTTTTTAAAGTAATCAGCTGCTTCCAATCTTTCACATTGCAGCTACTGTGCATTCAATGCCAGGTGCTGCACACCTCACTAGCACAAACTGATCACAATGCAAGACCTTCTTCAGCCTCTATATAGGTTCACATGCTGTGGTAGCACGACAGAATGCCTTTAGGTTTTAGCAGATCTAAACAGATCGTGTTGCTGTATCACACAGAAAAATCCCTTTAAAGTCTCTCTGCTAAATAAAAAAAAAAACAAAAAAACACACACAGCAACAACCTACATCTCCAAACATGACGGTGCATTTTTGGCATGGAATATGCAATTTAAGAAGAGAATAACGAGAGTATTTCTGTTACCTTCAGTCACATAGTTGTGGTCTCGAAGAAAGCTGTGGTTAATTTTCCGTGTGTCCGTGTCCTCGCCCATTTACAGCAGGATTACTCAGCATGCCTATCCGCAGTGGACTGATAGCATCGGCAGAGGTCGTCGCAAGAGCACCATCCATGCTGCCACTGCCTAGCAGAGGCGGGGAGCGCACTGGGCTACTGAGCACAGCATAATGAGAGCTAGTGATGCAGCACAGGTTTGGGGGGGTGAATAACAATCAAAAAATAAAAATAAAAAGGAAGGAAGGAAGGAAGGAAGGAAGAAAAAGAAGTAACAGGCGAAAGACGGAGGGAGAAAGAGCTCCAATAAATTAAGAATGCAAAAACCCCGTAGGGAGCTTGCGTGAAGGGAATACAGGCACTTCTCCCGCAGTTAAAGAATAACCCAATTGTTTAGTCAGGTACTCCTTAAACGAGCGCCCACGCAGAGTCTCCTCCAAGTGCCTGCTGCTGGGGATCTTGCTGGCTGCTAGGAAAGTGGCAATCAGCGTACTGCAGCAAAAGCCGCCTGGAGAAGCTCTCTGCTTGCTGTTGCTGCTACCGCTGTCATATGCCTCTGCTGCATCAGAGCAGGCCCCTCCCCGCCGGCCTCGCGCTGCCCAACCACGCAAGATCTGCATGTTGTAAAGTGAAAAATGAGACTGCAGGTAATTATTTTAGCTCTTCTGCTGGTAAGATGGGCAATGAAAATTTAAGGGAGGGGATGCAGGAGAAAAAAAACTTCAGGCTGCTTATACGCGTTTGCATTGACACGTACTGCACGCTAATGCGAAGGTACAATTTCGTACTAGTCAGGACTGTCATATGCAGCAAAAGCAAGAGTCGTTCAGTGTCAGCCTATATACGGATTACTGAAATTACCAAATACTTGCATATTAAAAAGGTATGGCTACAGACAAGGAAACCCCATGCTAAAGAAAGATAAAATACCTCAAAGTTTTTAATTTTTGCCATAGTTTGTAGCTAAAAGACAAATTACAAAGTATGAAAAAAATGAGGGCCAGAAAACAACCTCTGCAGCTTCACTGTACACGAAAGGAAAGGTGGACAAAGGGAATCCTTGCAGGTTATGGGATTTTCTTAAACCTGCTCTTTGCATTCACTGTATTATCCCATCACCTTGAAAAAGCAATGTATTCTCAGAAATAGCAAGACATATGCAAGTGGAAAACTACTCACTTGCATTGTAAAATAAAGCTCGTTCTTTAGCCTAAGCGCCCGAAGTAAAATGCAGTTACAATGGTTTATACTAAAACAAAATTCTTTCAGCTGAACAGACCAGCAAGTATCTATTCACTAAACTATGACCTGTTTGCTGCAAAAGTCATGTATTCTGAAAAAGTCTAAGTGCCATTGATGTAAAAAATTTGAATAGAAAGCAAATGGCTGTGTACCAAAGCCACCATTACAGCAAGACAAGGGAGCAAGTAATCACAAAACCAATTTAGATGAGAAGGATGGTTGTGGTGGTTTAGGCACTGGAGCCAAACACAAAAGTACAAGTTCAGTTCTCAGCATTACTACAGTTTTTTATGCAGGAATCCTGTACAGTCTTTGCTGTTGTTATTGTAATTGAAACTTAGACATATGGTTCTTTGGGGTAAATTCAATTTCAAGTGTCCTGCTATTACTGTAAAAGGGTTGTATGAGTTTGGAAAAAGGACAGAACTATGTGAAATACCAGTTGTAATTACTATCCAGTGATAAACGTCTAATTTCAGGATGAAGTAAGATCTAGGGGCAAAGGAGGGATAGCAGTGGAACGATATTCTTCACTTCGCTGATGAAGCAATATACAACAGAACTGTCTACAACCCAACATGCAAACATTATCAAATCTTCATGTTTGGGAAGGTGGGAAAGTAAAAGGAGATATTCAATACTTACACCTGTAGAGAACACTTTATTTTTGTGCAGCACTGTAACAATGCTAGGAACGTTATTTCTGCGTTTACAGCATCAGCCAATACCGTGGCAGCACCTGACAGACCGACACTGAAATGACATTGAGGAGCTCTAGCACAAACCATGCAATCAGCACAGCCACTTTTCAGAGAAAAAGCAATTGCTTATTTTATCAGTATTTTTCTTTAACTCCAAAACAATTCCACACAAAACCTTGCTACTTGGCCCTAAAAGCAAATACTCTTTCGCTTAAGGCAGTGGATCTAAAGTTCAAGAAATACAAGGGCGTCTTAGCAGCCTGCACAGTGCACATCAACAAAGAACCTGGCCCAACAGCTAGGATACAAATCCATGTATGACTGTACTGTATAGCACATCCAGGGTTAGCTCTAGCATCCCAGCACGTCTTGCATCTATGCGGTAATCCCCTCTGCTGTGCTCTATGGCTGAAACAGCAGGAGGAGACGAGCAGTTTTAGTCTCTAGTGACTGAGCATAAGCTTTGTGCTTTATTGGTTTGATTCCCTAGTCTGGTAAAGGCTCCCTCTCACCATCAGAGCATCCTTGAGAGCTACAAAGGCTTTACTCAGGGTAACGCCAATATATTCAGTTACCCAGCTCATGGATATCTGACTCTGTGAAGAGTATCAGTATCCATGAATTAGGCAGGTAATTGCCCTCAGCATCATCTGAAGCGAGTGAAAAGCCTCAGAATGGGATTCATGAGAGATGGCAGGCTGAGCTAAAACTACTGGATCTAGCTATTACAAGTCACTAGAGTAAGGGTCTTGCATCTTGTCCATCTCAAAGGTGTATATGCTTATCTCTGGGCTACAGGGAGATGATTCAGTGCAAGAGATATACCCCTGAATTTCTTTCTTGCTGTTAGGTTTCTACAACTTGGCCTTTGAAAAGGCTGAACACTTTCCAGTGTCCACTTTCCAATTTTGTCAAGACACCTTAGGTCAGAGTAAAAGAGCAGAAAGGGGTGTGAGCTTTAGACCAATAATCAGCTCCGGATTCCAGCTC